ATCATCATCATCACCATCACATCATCATCATCTCAGCATCATCATCATCATCATCATCATCATCATCATCATCATCATCATCATCATCATCATCATCATCATCATCATCATCATCATCCTCTTCTCCTTCTTCTCCTCCTCCTCCTCCTCCTCATCCCAACCATCCTCCTCATCCTCCTTCTCCTCCTCCTCATCATCATCGTCATCACCCGTATCATCCGATCATCCTCATCATCCTCGTCATCATCATCCTCATCCTTCTTCTCCTCATCGTCATTAACAGCATCAGCACCAGCACCAGCAGCAGCAGCAGCAGCAGCATCATCATCATCATCATCATCATCGTCATCAGCAGCAGCAGCATCATCATCATCATCCTTATCAGTATCATCATCACCGAAATAATCATCATCACCACCATCATCTTCATCAGCATCACCAGCAGCATCCTCTTCATCATCATCATCAGCAGCAGCAGCAGAAGCAACAGCAACAACATCAGCAGCAGCAACAGAGCGGCAACATATCATCAACATCATCATCCGCCGACTCCCCTTCCACTTGTCCCGTCTTCCTTTGTGCTCATTCGTCTCACGCATGTGCCCTCCTACGGGATCTTCCAAGAATGGGCCGTCCCGTCATGGATCCCAAAATGATTTCAGCGTGAGACTCGCGCCAAAGCCTGAACAATTGAACGCTTGACATTCTGATTCGTTTCTGTTCAGCCTGAACCCTGAAAAGGAAGCCCTCAAGTGCCCTTCTGGGTACTCGGGCTACCCCGTGGTGCTCTTTTGGGCTCCCTCAGGGCTCCTCTCGAGCCTTCTGTGAGCCTGGCTCCAAGGTGGACTCTTCCCAGATTGGGCGGTCGTGGCTGTCGGCTTCTGCTCCCATGCTTCTCCCCCCTTTTTCCTCGTCCTTCTCTTCCTCCCCCTGTCCTCTGCTTGGCGACGGTAGGTGGGATCATCTGCTCCCCCCTCCCTGGGCTCAGCAGAAGGCTGCGTGCGCATTTCTGCGACAGGGTGCCCACGCAGCAATTCGCCCCCGCATTCCGTCCGCGTTGCACCTTCGGAGCCCCGCTCATGTTGCCTGCGTGCCCCGCCGCCCCCTGCCAGTGCTCTCTGGCCGCCGTGCGCAGACGGGGGGTCCTAGTGCCGACGGTACACTGGACTCCCCAAAAAGCCGACGCTGCAACAACAAGAATTGGAGCAGGCGCTTTTTGCTGGTGGTCGGCCTCTGGGGGCCCTCGCCGGGCCCCAGGGCCGTCAAAAAACGACCCAAGACGAAGAGTCATCACAACCCCGGGCCCACGCATCAAAAAAGTCGGAGCAGCCGGATGTCTGGGACTGTCCAACATCAGGTGGGCGTCGGCGGAGCGCAGGGGGGGAAGCGAGAGGGGGCAGGCCTCCTTCTCCTCCTCCTCCTCCTCCTCTTCCTCCTCCTCCTCCTCCTCCTCCTCCTCCTCCTCCCCCTCCTCCCCCGGAGCTCGCTCCACAAACCTGACCCCCGATCCTGAGCGGACGGCGGCGGCGGCGGCGACGAGTGACTGCAGTGCAGGCGCGGCTCTGATTGGGCGGCGATGAAGGGGGGGCGACACATAGGGGGGGGGGGGGGCAGCGAGGGCTGCAGAGAAAGGGACCCTTCAGGGCCCCATTTTCAGAGCCCAGATGACAACCCCTAGGGCCCGAACAAGGGCACCTTTCCCCCACCCCCCTCCATTGATCGCCCGCCCTTGGCTCGCGCCCAATCGGAGGAGGGCGCTTTTTTGGGCGCCCGAATTATCCGGGGTAACTCGGGTCCGGGGTAACTCGGGTTCGGATTCCCGAAAAAGGAACCCGAGTTATCCCTGACCCGAGTTACCCCTGATGATTCGGGGCTCTGAGAGGGCGCTTTTCTCACAGCGCCCGGAGCACCAGCCCGCCCGCGAGCCCTGCAGCCAGGCCCCCGGCGTGGCCGGCGTGGTCCTGGGGCGCCACACACCCCCGGCGGGCGCCGAGGCTGCTCCGGCCACCCCGGCTCCTCCTCCTCCTCCTCCTCCTCCTCCTCCTCCTCCTCCTCCTCCTCCTCCTCCTCCTCCCGCCGCATCTCCCCTCCTCGCCCTACAGTTGGACATATGCCAGACAAGCATCCTTCAAGAACACGAGGCCCTTCGTGGGCCAACACACACACACACAAAATAGCCCAGGGTGCCCTCCCCCAGGATGCACAGGGGGCATCCAAGAAGCACGAAGAACACTGGGGCACCCTCCCCGAACCGACCTCGATCGTATACCTCGGTCCGACTGCATCTCGGCGGCGAGCGAGGGGGGGAAACGAGAAGGAGAAGGCCCTCTCAGAAGGCGGCGGGACTTCTCAGAAGTCCTCGCGCCTTCCGACAGGTCTTCTGCGTCTTCGGGGAAGGTTTCGACAACTTCTCAGAAGGCCGGGGGACGTCCGAGCCTTCCGAGAAGGGCCCGCCCCTTCTCGCTTCCCCCCCCTGGGCTCGCCGCCGACACTCGGCGGCGCGCCGTTCTTGTTTTCTGACGTTCTCGCCCCTCCCCGGAAATTTCTCCAGCCTCGGGGTGTGTTCCAGCAGCTGCGCCTCGCTGCGGGCGCTCTGGGGCTGCCCCGCATCGTCCCGAGCGGTCGCCAGAGGCCAGGGCTAGATGAGCCTAACAACAGGGGGGGGTTCTCGGAAGCCCCCCCTGGACTTCTGGGAAGCCGTCCGTGGCCTCGGAGAAGGCTCAGAAAGCTTCTCGGAAGCACGAAAACCTTCTGAGCGCTCTGGAAGGAAGAGAGAAGGAGGGCGGGAGGGAGTGGAGGAGGAGGAGGAGGAGGAGGAGGAGG